ATTGCAAATTACTTTATCGAACATATTATATAAATACATTCAAAAATATAAATTCACTTAGTCTGTTTATATTGGGAATTATATGATGCAGGACGAATAAATTATTACTCTAAAGTAGTTTAACTTTATATAGTAGATGATAGTAATTAATTTAGAAAACCATACATTAAATAATTATAATGGGATTGATTGATTCTATAATAAATAAAGTTGTACGTTACCTTTTTCTTATGATTTCTCAATAATTCTTATAATAAATGTACATAGTTCTTAAACAATATATATTAACTAATTTCAATTAAAAATCTACTAAAACTATTAAAAGAGTTTTAAATAATTTGAAGTATTCTATTATACAAATATATATAAAAATTAAAAAAAAAATATCTTAAAAAAATTAGCTTATAAAAAAATAGTTATACCTATCTTCACTCACAACAAAAAATAATTAATTTACGTTGGAGTATCACTATACAGTATACTAGAAAATGTCTCTAAAAGAAATATTTATTATTTTTTATTAAGTGATTTAATTATAATTTATTATTATTTAATTATTCATACGACATTTAATATTGGTAATAAATTTAATAAAAAATAATTAAAATTTCATAAACTAATTAATGGAATCCATAATAATTTAAAATACTGATCATAAATTAATTAGTTTATTTAATTTATTCAATTATGATTATTTTAAAATCATGTATTTTTTAAAACAATACTCGCGAATTTTTAATCCATGGTATAATATAAATTACTTAAATATTTTATAAAATATAATTACATATTTTGAAATATTTAATATTTAAATAAAAATTAATATTTTCTGTAAAAAATAAATCCATAAAATTTTTAGTTTAATAAGTTTCATTTTTTTAATTTCCATATTTTTATATTACAATATTTATATTGTGTCGCTATTGTTCCTAATAATGTTTTATTCATTTTTGTTTTTTTTTTATTTATAAGAACTAATATAAATTAGAAAACGAAGTAGGTATTATAAGAAGCCTAATATAATGAATCATATTGAATGTTTTGGTTATACAATAAAACTTGTGAATTGATTAAATTAAATGTGTTAAAATATACTTAAAAAAAGTTTGATGAAGTAGATCTTAATATAATAAGTTTCTTTTTAATGTACTTTCTCCCCTCTCTCTCTCTCTCTCTGCACTACTTAGACAATTAAGATAAAAATTTGTGGTATTTTCTTATATTTATTGTTGAGATATTAGATAATACTATAAAATTTTAATGAAGACAAAATTAAAATCATATAATCTCTGCTAAATTTCTGCTAAATTGATTGCTATTTTAAATAAAAATGAAAATTTAAAGAAAACTACGAAAATTGTTACTTATAAAGTTAATAAGAAACGTTTTAAAATATTCAGGACTCTACAATGTAATAGTATATGTAGTGATCCCTGTTTTACTAATAAATAAAAATTTGTATGAATTCAACTACAATTCAAGTATTGAATTAAAATATGCACACTACTTACTTGCACAAGATAATAAAAAAATGGTTTTCAATTAATCTAAATTTTTTTATAAATATTTAAATGCATAATTATTTTAAATACTATTTTATTTTCTAAATTATTTTAAAATGTTAGCTTAAATATAAAAAAATGTTCATAATTAAAAATTATATCATTTAATATGATTATATTAGAAATGAAATGAATAGCTTAGATATATTTAATTTTTTTATGAAACTTATATACAAGAACTATTTTTAATGATAATAATGAAACCATTTATAAATTAAAACAAAGATTTAATACTATTTATAATAATGTTTTTCATATTCGGGGATTTATTCTTCTTAAATGAGTTATTTGCTAGAACTTATTCAATTTTGATAGGTATTACAATTAATATCTTTTAACTATATTAAAACATATATAATCTCATTAGTAATAATAACTAAAATTCTATGTATTACATTACATATAACATTACTCAAATGCTAAACGGTCGATGAAATTTTTACATGACTTTTTACATGTTCAAATATAATAATTTCATGGTTAGATTATGCCCGTTAATAAATTATTTATCAGTAAATTATTTATATATGTTATAAATAATATTTAGGCATAATAATATGTAGTATAAAATGTAAATAATTTGAATTTTATACTTGAATTCATGATAATTACAATATGATTCCAGTGAGATTATGTTTATTAAATACCTAGAGTTGAAAACTTAAAAGAAGTATATATCTTACATAATACTATTAGTTTTTTTCTATTTTTTATTATTTTATCTTTTTGTATAGCTTAAACGAAAGCCTTCAAATAAACGAAAGAGTCATTTCTAGTCAATATATAAAAGTTGATGATGCTTTGCTTGCCTCTTGCCTGCTTTTTCGCAGCGTGTCGGCTCATTCAACTTTTCAAAGGATATGGTATATCTATGAAACAGCGGCGGACCACGTTGTAACTCTCTTGATGGGTGAGTGAGGAACCAAGAGGGTCAGGCAGCAAGAGAATCATAAGAGAAAAAATATGTGTTAAAAAATAGTGAACTGTACAATTTCTTTTTTAACACGAGTATTTTTTTGGTAATACTTCTTAATTCTAATTCAAATTTATTCTTTTATTTATTTTGAATGGCTGCTTTTGTTTAAATAGATATGTTCTTAATTATTATCAATTAGACTATTTAAATTAGATAGATAAAATATGTCATCCCAATTGTAATACTCATAATAAAATTTAATAGTGTAACATTTTATTACTATTCCACAAGTTATTTATATTCTACTTAAACAAATATTAGAATAAATTTAAACAGTGTTTTATAAAAATTTATAGATTTCAAATATATTAACTATTGATTAAATTTACCTTCATTAAATTATCTTTTATCTGCTATAAAATTTAATTATAAATAAAACTGACTGAAGTAAAAAATTACAAGTAACGATTATACATGATGTATAGATAAAATTACTGTTAATAACAATAATATTTTTTGGTAACGTGTATACTTCTTTTATAAAATCAACAATAATAATCGAAATAAATTAGCATACGACTAGATTGTATAATTAAAAATTATTAAATAATTTAGAAAATTGTAAACAGATTTTTTGCTAATATTCTGGAGCAATCAAAAGCTTAAACTTTTTACATACGTAAAAGAAAATATAGCATGATTTTAATGATATTGTTTGATTTACAAAATTTGTCGTTTATAACTAAAAAATATATTTAATAAAAAATTAATAGGTAACAAAAGTATGAAATTTAAATATCTGATATGATTATGAAATACGATAAAAACGACATTGAATTTAAAATAAAAAGGTAAAATAAATCATAATTAAAATTAAAAATAAAAAAATTAATTACAACGCAAAAATTTTGTTTGAATAAAATAAATATTACTATAACATAGTTTTATCTTTTCTGCGATTAATTAACCAACCCTTTTAGTAAATTTTATATTCATTACATATTGTATCCAAGTTTCATATATTAAATATATAATTAATATTTTATTTTTATCGTATTCATTTAATTTATTTTGAATAAGAAATATTATAATTTAAAAATATAATAATGATATATAACTTATAATTACACAAGCTTTGTTTATGGGTTAATAAGTATTTTGATAAAAATCAATAAAAATCCATATTCATTTATTTATTTTTATTATAAGTCATTAATATTATTATGTGCAATATGTTAAGAATATCTTACGAAAATATAATACAAAATATATTTATAATTTTTTAAAAAATAATAATGCTGATAATGATGCTGCTGCTGTTGCTGTTGTTATTGATGATGATGCTATATTAATGATAGTATATAGATTTTGTATCTATTTGACTATCGTGATACGTACTAGAGATTGCAATCTATTTATATGCAAAAAATGTATTTATAAACTTTTAAATGATATGATATCATACTATAAAATTCAGATATGCATTCAATTGTGTACATTTTCTCAAATTATTCTTCTTTATTGCGATTAATTATATTACCGTATTATTTATTTCATTACTTATGCTGTTTATTCTTTGGTTGATATCTGCACATTGCTCTACAGATAAAACTTATACATAATAATTATAGAAGAAAAAAGCAAAAATATATCGATAAGATTAGAAGAAATTTTATCAGTCTCAAAAAGATCACTGGATGATAGTTTACGAAAATCTAATTATATCGAAATAATGAATATAAAAGTCAAAATTATATACACAAATATGAGCATTGAAGCTGTATTGAAATAAATAATTAAAGAAGAAAAGTAATATTAAAATATAAATATGAAAATCTATAAGCTGGCTATTTAAAATAAAACATAATATGCGATACAAAAAGCTTTTCATGCTAATAAACTAATACTCTAATTAGCGTTAGGTATATCGATAAATTCTTGGTTAAAGCATAAGGTACGTACTAATGATTCTCGTAATCTTTATACAGCGCGACGCCATATAAATGTTTGAGTCGGTATGTACCTTAATTAGGTGCACAGGCTTACCGTCTTTTCTTTTTATTACTTCTTCTCTTTCTTTTCATCCTATTTTCAACTTAAAAAGACTGAGAAAGAAGTATTTAGAAATGGTTATTTCGTCGACCCTAGACGCCCTCTTAATAGTACTGTCGGCTTTTAATTTAGACTTACGCAGTTAAATAACTATAAAACATAATACATAATAGCAGCTGAAGCTCGTGTACCATATGAAACGTTTCATCCGTTAGCAATATACCGTGCGACTTTAAAAACCATAGGAGAGTTTAGTCGACAAGAAACATGCATGTAATACAGCAAACCACGTACTGAAGTTTAAAGGAATCAGATTCGTATCTTATGTATATTCTTACATATCTTGATATTTTAATTTTATTATGCATAAAAAAAATTAAAAAAAATTTAAAGAAAGAATTAAAAGAAGCATTGGGAAATAGACAGAAATAATGAAAGCATATTCCTAATTCAATTATTCCATCTTCACTAGTTTTTTTTACCTTACAAAGAAGTTAAATGAATTAAAATATTACTTTTAAATATGTATATACTACTTTTACAAAACTATTGACTCCAAAAGTTTCTAACACTCCTATTATCAGACTTGTTTTTGTCGATATAATTATTATCATAATTTATTTGTATTTCTTGTTATTTAAACATTATGTAGATTGATATTTTACGGAATATTAAAAGTAAAAAATTTCAGTCAATGTTTGGTCAGTTGTACCAGCTGTAAAAAGGTTGATGAGACGCTGGCCTTGGCTGCTGAAAACTCTGACCATAATGATTGGCAAAAGCTTGATGTTGATGAGCTGAGTGTAGATGTGCTGCTGCAGCAACTGCAGCTACTTGCTGCATCCCGCTTGGAAGACTTGGAGCTCCTGGTGGTGGTGGCGGACTTGGAAGACTAAGTCTAGATCCACCACTATTTTCAGAAACAAGAGGCAATGCACTCCATGATGTCGAGTTAACACCATGTTGTTGTTGTTGGTGTTGTTGCTGTTGATGTTGGATAGGTGATACGGAACCAACTGAGAGCTCGGCTGTAGTAAGTTGATCCGACGCTGAATTAGAACTGCCTGAGTTAGGTCCCATTATCGTAACTAAAGAATTAGGCGTCGGCGGTAGTTGGTGCGTTGATATATTTTGTTGTTGGTAAGTAACAGCAGAAGAAGTTCCTGATACCGGAGACGGTACTAATTGATGATGAGCTACCGAATTTGATGGTAGTGATAATAAGGAACTAGGATAGCTCATAGAACTGGGTAGCCCATAAGTAGATCCTGAACTCATAAGACTCGTAGGCAATCGTACTGCATCAGTTGGCAATTGGTGAGATATTGGACCATGCTGTGATGGATACAGATCTGAAAAAAATTCATTTTCTTTCGAGATTTATCACTCCATTACAACTTTTTTAATATTTCTTCATTCCTATCTTGCACTAAAAATTTTAAGTAATTTTTAAGCATATAGTTTACACATAATTTGATAGGACCATATTAAAATTAAATTACTTTTTTTTATAAAAAACTTTTTTTTTAATTAATTGATTATTAACTGCATATTTTTAAGTTAATTTTTTTAATTATTTAAAATAAATCTAAATTTTCGATTTCACGGTTATTTTTTCTCTATTAAATACCAATAATTCCTATTAGATAAAATATATAATAAAATACTATGAATTTAGAATAATTACTATAATGAAATGAATTTTAATTGTGTAATAAATGGTTTTGCAATCATTTCTATTATTCATATTTAGCATATGACTTCAGCATGATGTAAATTAAAATGTAATATGCATTAATATAAATACAAAAATATTTATCTATGAATCTAATTGAAGTTTTTAAAGAGATTTAACATGCAATGCTGAAGAATGCTTTTATCCACAAATTAAATAGTATTAAACTGAAATGAGTATTTTAATTTGAATGCCAGTTTAAATATTTATATCGAGACAGAGAGAATAATGACATGTGTAAATATTGTCTAAAACTAAAATTAAAATTAATAGTATTAACAATAAAATTGGTGATTATTCTAATGCAAACATTGAAATGTTGTTTTTAAAATTTAAAATAAAAGTGTGACGGTTCCACGACTTTACCTTGAGCGGGTGAGAAATTGGTGGAGTCTTGTCCAGGCCCATGAAGTCCACTGGCCGTAGAAGAGGGTACATGGGGTTGACTTGAAGGTATCGCACTACTTGAACCTGCATGAACGTGCGTTTGTGAATGCGTATGTCCAGCGGTTGCAGTTGAAGGATGTAATGCATAGGAGGCTGCTGCAGCAGCCGCCGCTGCAGCAGCAGCGGCGGCAGCAGCGGCAGCGGCCGCAGCAGGATACGGCACAGATCCTACGTAACCACTGGAAGCTGATTGCTTACGTAACCTAGCCCGCCGATTGCTGAACCAAACCTGAATGCGTGCCTCGGTAAGCTTGGTGCGCTGGGCAAGTTCTTCGCGAGTATAGATGTCCGGATACTGAGTCCGTTCGAATGCGCGTTCTAGCTCGTCCAACTGTTGGGCTGTGAAAGTTGTGCGACTGCGACGCTGTTTACGTTTCAGTTGAATACCAGGTTCACTTTCACAATCAGATCCCGAGCTTGTCTTTCCTAAATATAATAAAATATTATTTTTTTATTACTTTCTCGATTCTTTAATTACATCATGTATATTGTCATTGACAGGGTGTGATCTTTTAATCAACAATTAATTAAATATTATAATGACAACAATAAATGTTATACTACCTATTAAATAATAATAGTTCTAAAATAATTTGCATTTATAAATAATACAATAAAATATTTCGTAGAATAAAGTGCAAATTCTTTTATTGTGATTCTATTATTGTATCTCTAATACTTGTATCTTTTATTGTTCTATAATTTAATGAAAATCTATTTATTATATTTATTAATATATCCATTAGTATATATTAATCACGATAAAATAGTTGAAAACGTATTATTTCAAGTTTTAAATATACTTATAAAATTGAATACAATTTTCAGTTTTTTATATTATTAAATTAAATTATTGAAATGAAATATTAAAATATTCTAATAATATATTTCTTGATGAAAATATAGTAAATAAGCTCGGGTTTTAAGTAAAAAGATTTATTAGATAAAAAAAAATTATACACATATTTTATATATCTTTAATTTTATTTACCTAATTATTTAGTTGTACCGAAAATTTTTACTTTATTTATATTTAATATATGTTTTTTCATAATTAAATTTAAATTTAATTAAATTAAATTTTAATCAATTTAAAATTACTTTCTTAGACGAATTTTTAGCATGTAAATTTTACTTAATAAATTTTACATAATGATTTACTATGCGTTATCTCAAATTCTAATATTTTCCATATAAATACCTGATACAAAAAAAAATTGAGAACATTTAAAAAAATACTATTAGCTATAAAAATATTTTATTATATTTCCAAAATTATAATATTTAACTATAACAAACAGTAATAAATAAACAAATAACATATTTTTCTATATTATTATGTCAATTTTTATTTAATTTTGACATTATTTTGAATAAATCAGAAAAATAAAATAATTGTATAAAGTTCAAAAATTTATATTTGCGTATACATAATTGTTATGTATACTCCAAATTTAAAAAATTTAATTACAAAAAAAAATTAATGTGTTAAGATTGAATAATTATACATAAATGTATAAATTAGATCAGAGGAAATAAAAATTATTTTTATAGTTTTATTACTTTTTAATTGCAGAATTTTTAATTTTTTGCATTTTCATGCCATTTTCAAATGATTATTTTTTTACTTTTTGCATTATTTATTCAGTATAAATAAATATCATTCTAAAAATAAAAAAATTATTTTATAGTTTATATTATGGATTAATTGATTTTATAAAAATATTTAAAATATGAATATTTTATCAATATTATAGCTTTTATTTATTATAATAATATTATTAGACTTTTATAAAATAAATATATTTTAAATACCTTATATTATAAATAGATATATGAACATATTTATTACATACAAAAGCGATAGGTAAGAAATATATGAAAAAATGATGGAAATGGGGAAAGACGGATCAGAAAGTAAAGAAAAAAAAAAGAAATAAGGAATAATATTATGCCCTAGAGTCAAGTGTATGTAAAATTTCACTCGCTTGAATCATGAGTTATAATCTGATTGAGAGGTTTCTTTTCTGTTGTAAAAGTACGATTTTGTTGGCACGCATACGATGCCGCGAGCGACGCATTGGTTTGAAATCCATCAAATAAAATCCAGCACGGAAATTTTTTTAATCCTTTATGTTCTATACATCATGTTATTGTGACGATTAAACAATTTTCTTACACATAATCATAATAAATAATTTTTTTCTCAATTAATTATTTAATCTTATTTAATTCCGTTTTAATTTTATGAATATATAATTGAAGAATAGTTTCTTCTAAACTTAATTTAGAAATAGTAAAAGTTAAAATTTGTGGCACTTTGTATAAATTTAGAAATAAATATGAGTTATTATTAGTTGAATACATTTCTTAAAAAACTAATTTTTTACTTTTCATTTTTATTATAAAAAATAGTGTCTAATTAAATTTTTGATACAGTAAAAATATAATTTATATACTTTTATTCTAATTGCTAATATAATTAATAGAGAAAAATTAATTATAATTAATGCAATATATAATATTTAATAAGTATTTTACAAAATTCTTTATAACATTAATTTTAAAAAAATTACACGTTTCCTCATTTAAGTTAAATGTATCAAACATATATAAATTTTATGAAATTCTTAATAAGTTAAAAATAAATTCTTTTAGTGGAATAAATAAAACTAGAATAGAAATTATGTTCAATAATAGTAATTTACTAAAAAACAATAAAATTTATTAAATACTATATTTAATTTTAAATAATAAATAGAATAATTTCATTTTTCATAATAACGTATTTTACCATAATCATATTTAATATCATAGTTCTTTTCTATCTAGCAACCTATCATAAACTGTAAAATTAAATTTAGAAGGCCTTGTAGAAGAATTGATATTATTTATTATTGATACATGTTTAAAGAAAAATTATTTTAAATTAATAAAATTTATGGATACATTTTTTTAAATTGTACGTTTGTACTTGCGTTTTACCGAACATTCATATATACGCGTATTTTATAGAGGTGTACACATCCGTTTGTGATCCTTTTTGTTTTTTTCGATTCGGCGAGCTTCAAAAGAACATTCGACCGCTGCAGGTTATTTCACACTCGGCTTCCGATCGACTCTAGTTTCTTTGTTTGCGGCTTCGAGTGACCTGCAGCATCATGCCCTGTGTTGCTCCTTTAGCTCTCTGTCTCTCTCTCTCTTTCTCTCTCTCCCTCACTCTGTCTCTATCTCACCTCTTGAACGGAGCAGGTGTGAGAGAATGAGAAAGAGAAGCAAATGGAAGAATCGACGAAAGGGGGAGTGAACGAAGAAAAACGAGCAGCCATAGGAAGCAAAAGAGCGCGTAAAAGAGTGTGAGAATGGAGTGGGAAAAAAAGAGGAAAAGAAAAGGAAACCAAGGGAGAGAGAAAAGAGTATATCAAGAAATGGGATACGTTATATAATCTCACGTTTTCCATAGCTTACTTGTCAAAACTTACAAATTCATTAAATAATAATTTGCAAACTAAAAGAACATTTGATTAATGTACAATAACATATTACCTAAACCACATTCTTAAATAAATAAAAATATAATTACAAAGAAGAATTCGCAAACTTTCTACATATACACTTTCTAACAATTTACAGCGGTGTCAATCTGTATCGATAATAACAAAATGCAATACTGACAGCGTCGGCATGTTTGAAGTCGCGTGCGACAAAGCTCAAATCACCGTAACTCGCCCGAGAAACACCCGCGTCCGACCCATTCATATAAACATAGCCGAAAAGTCGAAAAAGAAAAATTTGTATTCAATGCCTGCAGTTGCTTACAACAGACTTTAAAATAAAAAAACTCCTTGACAACCATTTATAGAAGAGTAAAAACAAAAAGAGTGAAATGAAAAAACATGTAACCGACACCTCGCTAGTTCTAGAACTATTTATATTTATAAAAACGTTTGTAAAACATTGATGAACCTTTCCTCACTAATTTACTCTCTTCACTAAATAAATTGTATTAAATCTTCCTTGAAAATTTCAAATTTTTGCAAAAAATATCTGAAAATTTTTATTAGCCTCTCTCACTATATATATATATATAACGCACACGAGGTTAATCAAAATACTTCAATACTTTTCAATGATCTACACATTCTTTAGACGGCGCGTGTGTTTAATGCCAATTTAACACAAATGGCAGCTGTATTGTAGACGATACAGAGAAAGTTAATGTATACATCTTTTCTTGATTCATCTATTTTATAAATTTATAATTTAATAATAAAACCAACACCCAAATTGGGAAATTTGATCAATTTTTTAAACAATTTTGATATGAAGTAGTTCAGATATATTTATAAGCTTAATTTAAATGATAACAGTTTGTTTTAAATAGGATTTTTCTTTTAATTTATGGAAACTAAGAAAATAATAATTATTTAAAAAATAAAATAAAATAAAATATGTATACAAAATTAAGTTTACTAATAATTATATTTAAAAAAAACATTTGCAGATATGTTGAAGTAAAGTAACAGGCAAAATTGATTTCTTAGACTGTAATTCTTTTAAGATGTTATAATCTATAACTGTAAACCCAAACCAATAATAATAAAAATAAAATATAATAATAAAATTAAATAAAAAAAATAATAATTTAAGTAAGTATTTAAAAATTAGAAAAAAATATGGTTCATAAATGACGAAAAATCGTATAAATTACAATGTTCGCATTAACTTAACCTATTTAATAAAACACTTACGGAAAATTAACTTAAGAGAAAATTTCACGATTAAACTATTTCATATTAACTTCGTTATGACTGAAAAAATGATGCTGCTTCATAAGATATTTTGTTATTTTCTTTGTATTTTTATTTCCTCTCGGTGTATTGTAAACAGCAGTCGACGTTTATATTCGAATTTAATAGAAGGTTGTAAGAGTTAAAATTAGTGGATGAGCGTATACTTTACTCTTAACTTTAAAAATATGTAATTTTCAATTTGATTTTAAACGGAGGAGGTTGAGTTACTATATTCGGTATAATGTATCTTACTCATTGTCTTTATACTCATTCTTCGTCTGTCTTTATTCGACCATAGAAAAAAGAGATCAAAGTGCAGAATTAATCCGTATATATTAACAGGTTATAGTTAAAATATTTTGCTAATTTATCGACTTTCCGGGCGTGTCTATCTCATTCAGTAACGTAACATATATATTTTTGTCTGTATTAACTTCGCTACTTTGCAATTTTCAATGTACAGTAAACTAACCTATATCGCTTGCTGAATTTGCTAATATAAATAGATATTAATTATATATATATATATATATATATATCTTATATTTTTTATATTATAAAAAAATTATGAATATATTAAACTTAATTTTTTACATTTATTTCTTTTTTATTATTTATTGATACCATAATTTTTGGTTTTAAACAATTGCAAGTGCTAATCATATTGATAATTTTAATCAAGAATTTTGAAAAGAATTTAATTCACAATTATTTAATTTTAAATTATAGTAAAAGACAATACTTGTATAAAATAAAAACTATATATGGCTGTTCATAAATTTTGTCGGCAACGGCTCTTTTAAGGATTCTATATTTTCCATTGGCAAACATTGAAAATCATCGCATATTGTAAATCTACTATGGGCAGCAACTGGCTTGCCCGGTGGGCGATGCTATATACCTTCTGTCTTTTAATGTCTCCAAAAGCTCCTTAATCTATTTTCCAAACCACATTCTAGAGTTTTGTAGAAGAGCTGTAAACGCGGTAAAAGAAGGAAAAAGGAGACCACCAAGGATTTTTGTCAAAAACTAATTTGACATGCTTTTCGCCAGATCCACGTAAATCAATCATCCGCTCTCCTACTCCCAGCACGCTTTTGTTGTTCGCTTGCATGCTCACTTCTCTCTGAATTACTTATTCTATATTCCCCTCCCCCTCACTTCGCTCTCTCTCTCTCTCTCTGCCCCCTCTCTCGACCTGTCTATTTCTTATTCTTACTCATCCTCTTTCATGAGTTAAAAGTAAAAATTTTTTCCAACAGACCTCCGTGCTTTAACCCCCCCCCCCTCGTACGGTATCGTCGACACTACGTTCACACTGTATTTATATCACCCCATCTCTTTCTCTCACAACCATAGTTTTTTCTTCATTCATTAAATGAGCTTTTGTTTTATAAAATTTAGTTCAAAATGAAAAAACATTTTTATGCAATTAATTATTTTAGTAAATATTCATTTTTCTCACAGATTATAGGAATGATCCTTTGTTTGTAATTTTTTATGCAATAATGTAATATACATAGTTTATTTGAATTTTTAAAAAATATAAAGCAGTCTGCATAAAAAAATTTCTCTCCTATTTTTGAAAACTCTCTTCTCTCTCTCTCTCTATATATATATATATATGTATATATATATATATGACTATCTATCTATCAATCTATCTCGTACACACTAACACACACATTCACTTATTTTCTGCATCCTACCCTCAAACCCGTCTATACTATAATTCTTATAGTTGTTTTCTCTCTTTCATCTTTGCCGTCGGCTACCTTTAAATTATCCTTGCAATGAATCTTCTTCGGCACACATTTCATTTATCTTATCGTTTCCCTGCTCTCTCTTTCTTTCTCTCTGTCTATCAGTCTATGTCTGTCTGTTTGACTATCATTCTTGTTCATTTTTTTCTTCCATTCATAAACAATGTAATACAAAGAGCAAAAAACAGATAAGAATAAGGAAAAAATGTAGAAAATGTTAAATATGAATGGAAATAATTAATATTGTAGGCAAATAAAGAATTAATAGCTAAAGTATATTATAAAATATTCTTTACTTATTATGTTTTTAAATCATTACGTATTGGTAAATATTTGACTTCCATTATCTAATTATAATTATTATGCCTTAATTGTTTAGATAATTTTATTTATTTTATATTTAAATTATAATAAAATTATATATGACTTTATGAAATATAGCGGATTTTTAAAGAAAGAATTTCATTTAAGATTTATTCATAAAAAACAATTCATCCATAACCATAATTTAATCACAAATTAATCACATACATTAATATTTTTCATTTTTGTTACGAATTTTTTCTATATTTTGTATATTTCCTTGACTACTTTTTTGATGTATTGATAAAATCGTGATTGACTTATATACGCTTTTATGAAAATGCTATTAATGTAAAATTTTACTTTATTTATTACTTTATAATAATTAAATATTTATTTATTTGTACTTTATTGAGTTTTTCCGTATTTTTTTATATAAAATTCTTTAAAGTTTTCTAAGAATTAAAGTATATAATTTTTATTTTTTATATAAAATACCAAAAATAATGATGGAACTTACGAAAAAAATAATTAACTATGAAATATGTAGATTTAAATACATTAGTACATTTACATTATAGATGAAAATTAAAATGACTTGATAACATGTATTTTATAGTATGTATATATTTTTTCTTAATTTTTAATTATTTTAAACTGCAAATAAATAATTGATTTCATTTATTGAAATTTAATATTCTAAACCAATTATTAATTAATTATAAAAATTAAATATTGAATTATCATTACATAATATAGATTAACATATAACTTAAATCAAATATTTTTAAGTATAATTATAAATTACACACAATAACACTTATTGAAATGTAGCTATGAATTTTTTGAAATATACAATGATAGGAGATTAAAAAATTAATACATAACGATGAAAAAATATAAAATTAATACAAATTATTATTTCAGAGGATTTACATTTTTTTAATTGTTTGTATTAAATAATAATTAGTTCTAAACAAATATACAAATAAAATAATTTCTAATTCAATTAAAATTCATAGTGAAAATCATTTAAATTTCATGAAAATCTTGGAACCAATTACACGAATAAATAAAAATCATAATTGTTAGAATTAATATTTTGAATATTGTAAACATAGAACATCTAAAATCGTAAATATTGTTTTAAACTTCATTGTTATCATTATTGTTTAAATTATATATTAATATAGTAATATTATAAATTTAATTTTAATAATTACAGTTTATGCATAAAATAAATAGACAATAAATAATATAATTGAAAAATATTGAAATACTGCATTTTAAAAAATAATAATCAATACAATTAAACATTCTCTAGAAATTATCACTAGTATTCGAAAAATATTTAATGAATGAATAGTAAACAATTTTAAGACAAGTTATATTTTATTATTTGCAGTTACAAAACAGTATTAAAATTGTTATAACATCTAAACATTTTTGTTATAAAAAATATTATTTTTTTAAGACAGTTATGAATAAATAAAATTATAAAATAAATAAATTATCAAATATATCTTTAAATTATCTTTAAATTTAAATTCTTTATATTCAAAATTCATAATACAAAATGAAAATATCCTTTACACAAAAATATTGATAATTATTTAAAGTATAAATTTACGATTTATTTTTTAATTGTATTATTAATAGATTACATAAAAGATTCAAATTTGCAACATTTTATTTAAAAATTTTTAATTCTTACATTTGATACAAAAAAATCACATATCAATAAATTAGTACCTATAATACGAGTATTAAATGAAAGTTCCAGTTTAATTAACAATGAATCGAATAATACGTTTGAGCAAATAATCCACATTATTATCAAGAATATTTATAGAGTGATATCTATAGTTTCAGTTATATGGAAATGAATTAAAAGAAATACAAATTTATTAATAAGGTATGAGCAACAGATAAAAAGATTGTTTTTATTTTATTTTTAACACAGTCATAGTAAAATTAATTATTTACTATATAAATAATTAGTTATATATATTAAATTGAGTAATAAAAACTCGTGTTTTATAACTCTTTTTTAAGTCTACACATAAATTAATTTTTATATATATAAAATAATAATTTTGGCTTTGTTTACTTTAAATTTTATCTGACTCTCTCTCTCTCTCTCTCTCTCTCTCTATATATATATATATATATATATATATATATCTTTCTATCGTTCTTGCTTTCCTTCTCTGAATATATGTATTTCTTATAAATTTACAAATCTTTTTATACAAAAATATAACGGGTTTTTTAAAATAAGCAGTAAAGTAATCAAATTGTTAGTACAATGGTAATCTTATATTTTTTGAAAAACTTATTAAATCTTTTATTTATAAAACGTGTTTTAATGGAGGTACGGAGTTAATGCATTTTCATCAGGCTGAAATTTGATTGGTTAATAAAAATACTTTTATATATCACAATTTTTTACATATTATTAATTAAACGATAAGCTATTATAATTATACATATTCGCTCAATTAAGCAAACATATTATACTTTAATAATATTTCATAATAAGTAAAGTTGTACAAATATCTAAGCTGCTAACTATTTTTAATTTAAGTTATTATTCAATTGAGTAAACGGTTTCTTCATTTAGAAAATTATATGGAATACAACTTAATTAATATCTTAAAAGTATATTCTAAAAAAGCAATTTATTTATTTCATTTTGTTCATTTTTTCTTTCATAAAACAAGAGAAGATAACAAATGTATATTAAATTAAATATATATTGAAAATTATTTTCTTATGTTTACTATTTCTTAAATTCAGACTACAATATGAAAAACGGTAGACAGGTAGTTAAAGAATAAGTAAAATAAAACAAATAAAAGAAACAAAAATTTAACATTTGTATTCTTCCTTGAGTAAATAAAATCTAAAACTTACCATCTACTAGTTTTGAATCCTCTGGATCTCGATCTCTTATAAGACGAGATATTGCAGAAACACTAGGAGCGGTTGTTCTATCACATACACCATCCTTAATTAACCGATCTCGAACTTCCCAAGAAAAAATGCTTGGATTGTCACGTTTGTAGATCTCAATTTTTGATTCAACCTCAGGTGTGGCAACACGCGGTTTGCTGCCGCCAATTACTCCTGGTCGAATACTACCAGTCTCCTGATAGCGATTCAGAATTTTTGATACACAGCCATGTGAAACTCTCAAATTTCTGTTAATTAATAAGTAAAAAAAAAATTGTTTTAAAAATGTTCATAATACAAAGTAACTTATAAAATAATTCAATTTTGATAGAATAAATTGTTGTTAACTAATAAGTTTGTGTAATGGTTATAAAATTTTATAAATAATAAAACGTTTGATACTATAAAAAAAATTAACTCAAATTATGTCACAACCTTAATTGATCAAAGAAAAGAAAAATATTTCATGCAAAATATGATAGAATTTATTAAAAGAAAAGTGTACAAAAATGATTTCAATGTTCAAATATTTATTTATTAGTTATTCATTTATACATTTTACTGTATATAATTGGTATAATTTCATAACAAACAGATTTTAATTGAATAAAAAAATAATAGAAAATATAAAATATAGAAAAATCTATAATTTATATTATCTAAAAATTCTTTGTAACTAAATAAACTAATATATTATTATATATTAATCTATTAAAATTAATGAAAATTTATATACATATATATATATATATATATAAGCACGTATGTATCCATGCATGTATGCATGCATGATTATTCAGTATGGATAATCATTCAGTATTAAATGAAAAAAGGTTATTATTTAAACACATAAAATGTGCAATATTTCAGAAATTAAATAGTAAAAAGATAATATTTTTAATAATTATAAATAATATAATTAATTATTTTATATAATATGATATATATATATATTAAATTTTTTATTTTTTAATTTTAAAAAAATTAAAATTTGATTCAGTATTATGCATCGTGGATTTTTAAAATAACTAATTTTATACAAAGATAAAGTTTAAAGAATTATAAGTATTTGAAAGTAAACGATTTATAAAATTATGACAATTAGAATCTATATTTGATAGTTGTTAAATTTACCTCGATATTACACAAGGCCGTACACCTTGTGCAGCCATTTCTACAATTTTTAAACGTATATGATTGGGTAACGGTCGTCCATTTATGAAAACACCACCTAACTGATTTACCCGACCTTGTCCAGGTATCGAGTTCAAATCTAAAAGAAAAATAAAATGGTTTTTTATTATTATTATTTATTATATTATGATACAATCATGTAAAGCAAATGGCAAATTTTATGAAAAGTCAAAAAAAGAAAAGAATAAAAAATTAATAAATAAACACCAACAGCATGTATACAATATTAATGAGAAACAATATAATAAATTGCAATTCAAATTTTTAGTAAATATAAAATATATGAGACGTATTGACTTGCTTTAATTATCATAACTTCGTATTAGATTTTTCTAAATAAAATACAAATTATTACTTCGACCCTAAATTTCCAAATAAATTTATATTATTTTGTATTTTACACTAATTTTTGGAATTAACATTTTTTATAATTATTAATAAAATTAAATTTTGCTCGAAATAAATCGATTAAATAATTATAACATACATTTATTAGTAATTTATATTGATAAGAAAACGTATTACGTACACGTAATAACTAAAGAGAAAATAACTAAGGAGAATAAAAAATCAAGTTGTTTAATAACAAAACTGTCCGTGCTCTTTTAGATAAGCTCAGCACTTTTATCGCATATTTTTCTTTTTTTTTTTTTAAATATTTTTCTAATGTTCAAATTGTCATTACAGCGTAATTATGCTAGTGTATTGTACTAAAACTAACTGTTATTGTATCGTGGCCGTTTTGTGTAACTATTACGTGTGAAATCTTGGTGAATTGTCTGAAAAATAGCTATAATATTTAATGTTGTAAGCTCTATTAACAGCGTGAAAATTGCGCAGTCCTTATAACCACATTGCGTAAGAAAGTTTTCTGCTATTAACGATTGCGAGTGCACCGAAAAAAAATTGTAATTGCTATTGATTGAATAATTTAAATTGATATAAAAATAACAATTTTTGACACATACACTCTAGTACCTTCCTATTAATTTTACCTATTTTACTATCATTTATCTTATCTTTAATTATGCAATAAAATCACATGATTGAAGTTTGATTATAAAATTAACATAAATATTCTATATTATTAGAAGAAAATCTATTCAATTGCAATCTAGTTTATATTTGAGTTATTCTTTGAAAATTTGTTCTCTTGTTACAGTACTCATTATGCATTAATATATTGTTAACAAATCTTATATTATTGTTATAAATATTATAGTAATGAATTATTTTATTATGCATTTAAACAATAAATACAATCTAAAATAATTTTTTTTAATCAATCACATACTACTATTCTAAATAATAAATATTATAACTTATAAATAAATATACATTTTTTTTTTAATTTACATAATAAAGAATACTTATCAGTTACTAAAAAAGGAATAACGAATAACCATAAAGTAAATTTAATATTTTATTATAGAAGAGGAACAGATTATATTATCAAATTAGAACATATGTTACGTTAAAGAAATTATAGGCGTACCCGTTTAACTAATGGTACAACTTTTTAAACGAATATTTTAGGAAAAATACGTTTATATATATTTAAATCGCAGAGATAACATATGTTTTCTCTAAATTGAGTTTTTTCTATTATCAAAATAAATAATAAAATAATGTAATGCAAGATACGATTTCCATATTTACGAATAGGTTTTAAAATTTATAACACTTCAAACATGAAGTATTGTTTTTACTAAAATGTATAATAAACCATGTATTTTTTTATATTTAATATACAATAAAAATATTAGTAAAAATTTTTATATATAAAATATTAAAACATAATTATTTTGTAAAGCAAGAACAAAATATTGTATTATTAAATATTACTATTATTCTAAGAACTTCTTATTTATAGGGCTAAATATAAGTTTTAAATACTGATTTAATCAATAATTTCCAACAATTGGTTGGCTTTCTACCATCTGGGGAAGTGCGCCTACAATAAATCATCGAATTTTATGAACAGGATCCTAAGGCGTGACGTGTCTAACTGCCAAAAGTGCATGGAAAGTTGCAGATTATTTTATATCTGAAGAAGTAACTCCTAGAAAGACATCGCGAAGACCAGCGAGAAAATGAAAACAGTTGTTTGTAAAAATTTTTTCAACGTTTGTACTAGAATAAAAAAAGATGAATTGAATACAAAAAATAAGCAGAAAAAATGTCTTTCCTTGAAGGACTGTAAACGAGCGCGAAACGATTCTTCAGTCAAGGATCTTGAAGAGTTTTTCAGCTTGTTTCAGTTTGTACTAAGATCGGGATCTACAGTTTCAAACAAAGGAAAGGCACTATTCTCATAATAATTTACAGCAGTCATTAATGAAAATTTTCCGGTGATTCGACACTGCAGGTAAGGTCATATATCTATCGTCATTTCACTCTTCCGTCTATTCATCTTTCAGTATTTCTATCTTTCAATTTTCGTAGCTTAGAATATGAGATTTGCTAATATTAGTTTAAAAGGGACAGAGACCGAGTAAAATGGTTAGTTCGTTATGTTATGGACCGTCGGCTTTCTCTTCCTATCATAAAATGCACGTGTAAGAATATAGTTCTTCATGCGCGCATATATTTCAATAGATAATTCATTCATTCTCTCTTTCTCCCTCTCTCTCTCTCTCTCTCTTTCACACCTTTTCAATAAGTTGTATATTCTTACATTAATTTTAAATATAATTTCAAATATGAAAAAAATATGTAAATAATAAAACTGAATAGAAATCTGATACAAAATTTTGGTAACCACAAACATTTTAAATTATTTTTGTTGTAACATTCTAAAATAATATAACTATTTTATTTTTATTTTCAGGTATGATATATAATTCTTTATATATAAAAAAACTTTTAGAAATATTCAAATTTTTATTCCAATAAGAAACTTGAATGTGAAAGTTGGCATATTAATTTTGAATTGACATTGTTAATTTTCAAAGTTTTATAATTTTCTTAAAGTTCTTTTTGGAAATATATTTATATGTATATAATACTTTTTTTAATATGTATAGATAAAAAGTATATTTATATGTGAATCATAAATGTTTTACTGCTCTATACTTTTCTACTGCTCTCTACTTTTTTAAAACTGAGTTATCATTTATATTAGTATTCGGAAATTTCTTTACCCTCATTTATTACTTTTTGGTTTCTATTTCTAACTGTTTATTTAAATTTTTTATTTGAAAAATGATTTCATTTACACATTCTATTTCCTAATTATATATAAATAATTATATTTAATTTATAGAATTTAATTTCTAACCAAATAAAAATGAAGAATTAAAAGTACTACTCTAATACTAATACAATTTTCTACTAAATCAATTTTTCAATTATATTAAGAAAAATATATTTTTAGAATATTAAATATATGTATATATATATATATATATATATATATATATATATATATATATATATACAATACATTTATAAATTTTAAACTAGTTTACACATTCTAATTAAACTTTTATTGTTTTCAAGCTTGGAACCATCATAAGTACGTAATTTATAATTTTACTTTTAGGCTTTATAAATTTGAAATGAATGTTTTGAATAGTCTATTTATAAATTAGCATGAAAAAATTTTTTTTAGTATCATTTGGTTGTGTATTCCTTTAATTAATTTTTTTTCGTTTCTATTATATTTATATTCTATTCTATTAAATAATTAAATTAATTAAATGATATTAAATAATGTCTGTATTTAATATATTCTTCAGAAATATTATGGGAAATATCTTCAATTAAAATCAAATAAAAAAATCATTAATATTAATATATTTTATTTCTTTTTACGGATACTAATACTATATTATTATTATTAATAATTTAGCACTATTTTCAGATACTAATTTGAAAAATTTTGTTTTAATAGATATAAATTATAGTATTATAAAGATATAAATATAAATGCTTAGTTTTTAATAAAAATCATTAATTTTTAAAACAATTTTCATTCAAACAGTCTATATTTATGTATACTTTAAACTTATCAGCATACATATTAAGATATATAGTAAGTATTTTTATAACAATGAAAATTTATTCTAAGTCATTTAAAAAGCTTAAATTTTTTATATAAAACGATTGTTAGATAAAAATATATTTGTATGCAATGGAAGCATTCACTAAATATTTTTATTGTCTAGAATAAGGGATTCACAAAGAAATTCTATTGTCGATATTATTATAAATTAGATGAAAGAATTTAGGTTTTAACCATGTTAATAAAGAAAATGAATATTTGTTAATGTACTATAAGTAAAGATATTAATTTATATTTTTTTATAAAATCTAATATTTTTCTATAACCATAATAATTTTGTTTCGATAAATATAATTTTAATTTAATAATTTAACTTGAAAATAAACTTTTTGTAGGTACATTTAATAAATATTAATAAATATTAGTAAAAATTAAATATTAAGTAAATATTTCAAGTACTACCTTGGAAAGGATATGCAGAGAAACAGGGCCGCATCATCGAATAGCTTGAAGTAATTGAAGTAACCGTCATTTCACACCTTTCTCCACCAATTGCCCCCTTCAAATAATGTCGATATCACTTTCGTTATCTTTAAATAAAAAAATACTTATATTTTGAATTTTATGTATAGTCTTTATTCTTAATTTTTTTAATTGTCTCACAGTGTCACTTACACTGAATTTAAATATAATTATTATAGTTTTCGCATTCACTGCATTAAAACTTTTTATTTACATTAATAGTATCGACTATATTGTTTCATACATTGTATTTAGTACATTTATATAAGAGAAAATATATTTACGTGTTTGTGTAATTATTAAGTTATTAATTAATGATCTGTATGATATTAAGTTGTAGAGTAAATACAGCACTGTTAGTTTATAGCTTTAAGTCAAAAAGTCTTCCTTTTTTTCTTCGGTGATTCTCATTGTCGTTGTCTCTCTTTAGATCGACTTCCTGATCTTGACTGAGCCAAATACCCCAGTTACTTTTGAATCTTGTGTAGAATGAGAAATCAGGCCGCGCCTACTTTTGCCGTCCCAAAAGTGCCGCTTACGCACTGCTAGTACTTGGTTCATTGATGTAAAGGAGTGAGATGAAGAATAAACTATCTACCTCACAGAGGAGGTAGAGAGATAGAATACTGTATGGACGGTTGGAAATAAAAAGGAAACAAAATTGTGCCCCACTCTATATATTGTGCTGCCTGGTAGCAGTACCAGGCTAAATGGTGCCCATGAGGGCAGGGCGCGCGTAGTCACTATCCCCACCTCTTACAAACAGAGGAAACCGATTGTAGCGGCGGTGCTTTTGATCCCCCTGTCGGTCTCAGGTGAGAGGCTTGGCGTGGAAACGAGTGTCGAACCAATAGAGACCTGTATCAGTGGCCCAATACTGTATCTTGCAGGCCTGGCGGTCCAGGACACGCCTACATACCCCTCTCCTACTTCCTTTTCTATCGTTTTCGTTTTGCTTACTCTTACTTTCCCTCCCACTGAGCGCCCTACCGCAGAGCCACTATGTTCTTGCTTACAGTTCGTTCAAGCTCAACCCTGACTCGAGCGTGTGATGCATTGCTGTGTAGTACACAATGAGTACAAGCTAGAAGCTGAGAAACAGGGATAAAGAAAGGGAATGAGACATAAAAACAAGTAACACTTGTATCACATCATTCTGTCTTTTTCTTGTATTTTTATTTTCCATCTTTTATTCTGAAACACTTTTCATATTATTTATTGCATAAAAATGCAAGTTAGAACTAATCATATCTTTCTATTTTTCATCGTAAATTGTATAAAAATAATTGGAATATATTATAAATATATTATAAGATTATCTATGTAAGCTATCTTATATTATCTATTATATTATATTATATTATATTATCTATATAAGCTAGAAGCTGAGAAACAGGGATAAAGAAAGGGAATGAGACATAAAAACAAGTAACACTTGTATCACATCATTCTGTCTTTTTCTTGTATTTTTATTTTCCATCTTTTATTCTGAAACACTTTTCATATTATTTATTGCATAAAAATGCAAGTTAGAACTAATCATATCTTTCTATTTTTCATCGTAAATTGTATAAAAATAATTGGAATATATTATAAATATATTATAAGATTATCAATTTAAAATAAAAAAATAAAAAAATTTGTGAAAAATACATAAATTTAAAATAAAAAAATAAAAAAATTTGTGAAAAATACATAAAAATTACATTTGTTTATTAAATTTATATATTTAGAACGCACATATATGTAAGTCGACACATTATTCTAAAAACTCTGAATTTTATTCATATATTTTTCAAAAAAGCATTATTGTAAACATGTTTAATTTATTATTTAGTAAATGTATAAATAAATTATCAAATTTCTTACAACAATGAAATTTCAGGCAATCGGTATTTAATTTTTGATTTTTATAAAATAAAATTTTCCTTATATATTTTTATTTTAAAATTTTCAAAAGTTGTGAGATTTCGTCTTTTGAATATTTGGAATTTTTATGGAAAGACACAATAAATAAAACTAATAATAAATATTAGTTTGAATTAATCAATAACTCATGTTTTTAATAATATTGATTAAATACATAAGTATCAAAGTATATTTAATTATATATTAAATATATAACTATTTCAGTTTTTAATTTAAATCCTTGAAAATATTGTTACACATATTTTAGTAATTTATAAAAATATAATACATATTATATTCAGATTTTAATATATAATGTGATAAAGCATTTTTACATAGTATAAAAATAAAAATCATATATCTTACATTTGTACGAAAATTTTTTAATGTTGATGATAAAGCATAAACAAGTAATATTGAAATAAATTAGTAAAAGAAATTTGAATAATTAAAATACAAAGTAAGATATTTCAAAATATTTATGTAGTAATGGTTCAATTATACATATCTAATAACAATTTAATTAATAATATATTTTGTATATATTATAATTTTTAATAATATAATTAAAGAAAATTTTTGAAATATTTATTTCGTATCTTATTGTAATATTATAAAGCAATGTTACTATTATGAAACACCTATTAATTAATTTTTTTAATTGCATTTCTGACATATTTGCAATTTTATATTGAATAATTAAACGTATAAGTTAATTTCTCTTTCATTAAAACTTACATCAAATTTTTAATATATCAATTTATAACTATTAATGTAGACTACTCAATATTTTCAATATTTAAAATCACTAAAAATAACTGAATTGTTAATGTGTGAATAATTAATTTTTATCTTAAATACAATTATGTCTTTTTATTTTGAATATTGACAATCATTATTAAATCGAACTAACGTGGTAAAACTATGCAACAAAAATATTTTGTATTCACAATTGTAAGTTTCATAAGCTTTCACTGTACTTATAATGTTACGAAAAATGAAGTATTTTATTAAAAATATTATAAATGATTCATATTTATAGGTTATATATATTAATAATATGATTTATATTATTATAAGTTTATTTTTATATTTTATAATTAATAAAATATATAAATTTCGAGTTATTAATAAATAAATGTTATATATCGATAGACGTGACACTAAAAATATGCAATTTTTGCTTAATATGAATCGTAAATAAACATGTTACACGAATCATAATTTCTCTACATCATAAAAAATGGAAATAATTTTGGTAAGCCAATCTCTTAATTTAATATAATATTATATATAAATAAATAGTATATAAATAATATAATATAATATAATATAATAAGTGATAGAATGGTAGTATGAGAAAATTGGAGTTAACGGTAACAAAAAAGAATAGTTTACAATAATTACAGTTTTAAAAGTATGGAAAAAGGAAAAAAGAAGAATCAAGAATTCACAATATGTAAAAATATACTCTTTATAGCAGTAGTTATAACAGCTGTAAAATCAATAATAGAATACATAATTCACAAAGTTACAAATATAAAAGATTATACCAGACTAAGATATAGATGAAGTAAGTAAGTAATAAATTAAATATTCTCTAAAGTCAAAAATCAAGCAAGAAATTTAAAAAATCAAGATATGTCTGTATAAATTCTGATAATCTCGACTAACGGTTGGTGTAATAAAATGATTCTGCCATAGTTGAATAGAATAGTAAAAAAAAGATGAACATTTAGAAATAGATATAGAAATTTGTCAAATACGTTTTTTAAATTTATCATCATGATTTTAATACTAAGACGTCAAATAAATTGATGATTGAATTTATAATCTACGATAGAAAACCAGATTTAAATTTGAAAAAAAAACAGAAAATTAATAACATAGAAAAATCAATTTGAGTGAAATGAATCGAATTTAAGTTATTTTATGTGTTTTATTATTTTAATTTTCCATTAGGTTTGAAGGCAAATATTTTATCATGTGACAAAAATTAACAATATTAAACAAAAAATTGTCAAAAAATTTACGTTATTTATAATGAAAAATATAACAGTAAGTTTCAAAAAGAAGTGGACTGGTTATATGAATATTAGGTCCACGATGAATTTCTAAAAGAAGGTAAAAATGTTTGGCGTATAATTAAAAAAAAATTATTTTATATATTTAAATGGTGCCGTAGAAGTAAAGCTACATAATAATACACTGATTGAACCGTATTGAATTGTAATGCAGTCAAAGATACGAGTATATATATATTAAAAGAACAAAATATAAATGCATAAAATAAGTGGATATGTGTGTACAGAATGATTCAATCTTTTGGTTAGGTAGTGTTACAACATAAATATTTAGATTTTTTAAAGATAAAAAAATTGAAAACAATAAAAATTAAAATAAAATAAATATTTGTCATAAAATTAATAATTATAGATAATGGGGTAATGGACAATATATTATATTCAATTCCTCTATATAAAATTTTTGTTATAAATTTTCAAAAATTTCAATTTTCTATCAAAATTGTCATCGAACAGTTCTTACGCAATTGCTTGTATAGTGCATCTAACTTAAGTTGCAAAGAATATATTGTATTTACTGTTAGTTTATTATATCATTTATTATTTGTTTGTTTATGATTTATATTTGTTTTTATTAGTTTCTCGTGTTACAATGAAGCAAACATTAAGCAAGAGAAATCACGAATCCTCAAGCTACCGTTACAGTTATATTTATAATATATAATAAGATAATCTTCTGATTTTATACATTGTTGCTTTAAAATCCGTAACCTATTTATAGAACCGAAGTAATGAGTTTGCTTGGTGTTCTTTGCAAACCACTTCATATATCTCTAAAAAAACACAAATTTTGTCGGCTCATCAAACAATTACTAATAATATTAATAAAGTTTGTTTATTTGGATATAATAAAATATGTCATTTTTTAACTTAAAAAAGGGAAGATGTTTTTAATCGTCAAGGAAATAATACTGTTCAGTACATTAAAATAATGTAATACAATATAAAAAAAGATATTATTTGTTCACTGGAACAAGTAATAAAAAAATCCTATTGGAAGATTACCTCTAAATAGATTAATAAATAGGCTCAAGGCCACTTTATATAAAAATAATATAAGATATGCAACAAAAATTGATGAAACTGAGTAAAGATGTACATTTTATACTACAAGCAGGTATACATAATTTTCTTAGAAACGAGATTTATCTGTTAGAATCATTTACAACAAAAACAGGTATATGTAATAGAATTTATTTTAATTAATTCTCTGACCGATTATTCCATTCGCAAAAGTAAGAAATTTTCATGCGTATCTGAGTGTCATACCATAATATCGATATGATATGGTACAAGATAATATATTGATAAAATATAATAATTCAATTTATCTAAAATTTTTTCTAACATTAAAACATTAAAAGCACTAAATCAATAATTATACAATCGATACAAAATAAGGACTTCAAGGTTTCATTTATGTTCTCTATTTCACGAAAAGTAGTTTTTAAGCTATTTAAAGATACGTAAATTAAC